TCCAATGTTCAGAGTTTTAAAATGTTTCAAATACATGCTAAGTAAAAGGAATGCATAAAGCTATACCTGGTGACAGACCTAAAAAAAAAAAAAGTGTAGGTTGACTTGACAAAGATCCTTTGTGGTAGCTCTTACCCTCCCTTTCAGGTATACAGAGAATGCTCTCACTGGGACAGGATGAATTGTTAGCACCTCTGAGCATTATGTTATAATGCTAAACAAACCCAGCTTAGGGTTGATAGACACAGTATTGTCTGGTGGTCACCACAGCTCCCATTAGAAAAAGCAGGGTTAACTCTCACATCTCTTGTGACCATCCTCTTGGAAGCTACAATAGGTAATGAGAAATGTCAAGTCCCAAGATCAATGAAATTTCAGGCTCTAGGGACAAAGCAGGAATAGCATTGATCCTTTTAAAGAACACCAGTCAGAGGGTGAATGTAATATATTGCACAGAGAGGCTCAAGAGGATAAGCGGCCAAGTCCAACATACATACCTGACAAAAAATTCAATCAGCTTTTAGCACAAGCTGCCTACCCTTCCCTTCTTTCATGCAGGAGTCTGATTCCAATTAAAGTGTGCAAATTAATTTTTATCACTTTCAAATTAGTTTCTGAATTTGTGTCTGTTTCAGATGAAAGCATCTGTCCCTCACTTTTCTGCAGTTCTATCATCCACTTTAGTATCTATTCAAAAGCTCAGAGATAATTCTCATTTTCAAAATCACTTATTTGAAAAACACACATTGAATAAAGTGATCATAAAGTATAAAAATAAAACAACTGTAATGATATGTGTTGAACTCCAGGGCATACCATGTACTCTCTTTGCTTCTTTTTGTGATGTCTAATACAGTTGCTGTGTATACAAATTAACACTCACCTAAAACAAAACCTTATATATTGTAAGAGAAAAAAAACCAACACAAATTTTCAAACTCGATTACACTAATTTTTCTGTCCAATCTCCTAGAACTGCATAGATTAATATTTGTCAGATCACTTCAAAAAATTAAAACAAGCAAACTATGTCCTCAGCGTGTGCCATGTCTTCTTAAGAGATAACAGATTCCCTTCACTGTTCTCTCAGCTGTAGCAGATGTGTATATTGTGGTCATCACCTTAATAAGGTGCAGATTCAGATTACCTATTTCAGATGGACAATTTTGGCTTAGAAATTAGGTATGTGACCCTGGTAAGCCTCATTCACTTCAGTGTTTTTCTCAAAGGTGGTATGGATATCCTTATCTAGGTAAGAATAAAGAAACAAGGGGAGGCTTAAATGTACATTAAAGGCACCAGTCCCTAGTCTAGGCTGGCAAAGGGCATCTGCTATTACCACTATGGGAGCTTAACCTTTGCACAGCTGTGAAACCAAATTTTGTTGGACCAGAGAGTATAAAAGTAGAAGATCTGCCCTACACACTGCTGTTGAAGGAATCGTTCTTAGTTTCTTCATTTAGCTCTATTTCTATCTAATCATTATGTCACATAAGAGCCATACACAAGAGGAAAGAGAAAAACTTAGCTTTCCACCAAAGCTGGAGGTTCACATGGTGCTTCTTCCACATTAATTTATAGCCTGATAGTCCACATGTGCTTGTGAATATGGAAATGTGGGTTTGAATTCCCTCAGTCTCTGGAGGCCAAGAACTTAGTTTCCCACTTCCAGGACAAACATTCTAAACAGAAGGTTTTGTACAAGGTATTTTTGAAAGCTAGTCCACGGAAAACATTGTGGTTAAAATCTGGAAAACTTCAGACTTCTCACAGCATATGCAAACTGGATCAGAAACTACTTATTGCAGAACAAAAGGGACAACTTAATAAATGTATTGATTGGAAAAATAATTTGGAAAAATAATTTTAAAATTATAGAATGAAGCTCATCCTGCTCTCATAGACAGGTTTTCAACTACTGAGCTGGTGCAGCTACTTGCAAGTCTTATGCAAGACAAAACTTTTCTCCATTCTCCTCTTTACACCAGAGCTGCTTCTGTATTTCCCACAGACACCTCTGAGGTTATCCTCTGAGCACCTGCCCACCCAACAGAAGGCTTCACACAAGTCTGACAAGTTAAGTTATTATCATACATGTTATTTAGTAAAGAATTTATCTAACTCATGGATTTTGAAATATAGAATTTTAGCAGAATCAGCAAGGAGTTTGTTCTGACAATCTTTTGCCCCACAGTACTTCACAATAAATGATCACGATTTCTGCATTCTCTAATGAAATGCTATCTATATTTTCCTATATGACTGTTAAAGTACATAACCTGTTTAGGACTAGGGGCTTGTTTTTTCCACCCGTCCTAACTCCCTTAACATTTTCTGGAACAACTGAAGTTCCTTTTGGTAATTGGATGCATTGAAGCTGAAACTGATAATTAACTGTCTTTCAGATTAAAAGATCATGATAAAGTCAAGCATCTAACCCAGATAATTACTATACCTGACATTTTTCTTTGAATTCTTCACCTTCCTACAGTCTGTGGTATAAAATACCTTATCTGTGTCTCCAGATGACAGCTTTTAAAAAAACTAATCCCTCCTTTTCCCCCTGAAAATATCATCTACATCTTTCTGGAAATTCATTCTAAAGATGTTAACTAATTGGATTTGACCTACAGTGAACATCTCACTTTCATTTCTCCTACAAGCCAAATCCTAATCTTTTACCAGTAAGTATAAGAGTAGATTAGGAAATATTTCTTTACTACTTCAGTGGCTTTAACTATGTAAAACTTCAAAAAGGTTTTCATAAGGACTGTTGAGAATGCTTCACTTCTGAAAATTAGTATACAAGGAATCAGTCATACAACTATCATGTTTATTCATGGCAGGGAACAGAATCTAGTAGTCATTACTTCAGCAGAAGGATGTAGTAATTGTAGAAGTTGTAAAAGGCAGAAGGTCCTTCAGGCATATAACCTGTGATCTATTCTTACTGATGTGTGTTCATGAAAAGTCAAAGTAGCTGTTAATAAGGATGTATTTACAACACATGAAGTTCTGGTTGTAGTACAGAACTAGTACATAATTAGCATATCTCTGGTAACTTTAATTCAATGAGTACAGATAGCAATAATAGTGTTGACATCACTCTTCCTCAACATGAGTATTCAACATGAGTAGTAAGAAATCTGATTAATGTATTATGAAGTTACCACAGTGAACTTGGGTATTTAATCCTCCTGAGTTCTGCTACCTGTGCCTATGAGATTACATTTGCCTGGACATGACTATCTGCAGCACAGTCTCCAATTAATTCCATTAATATGACAATCAAGCCTTTTCTTAAGCAAGACAGTACCTTACCCATATAAAGATAGAGACAGAGAACAAATCATTCATACAATTCATTTTTGTTTTCATTAATTTCCACCAGTCAACTGACATTATTACTTTTCATAAAATTAAAGATCTTCAAGGCAGATCACATCCAAAATTACATAGCTATGATATTAGACCTGAGATTCTAAAAAAATACCAATTTTTTTGCATGCAGATACGTTCATAACAACAAAAAGGTATCAGAACTAAATTCTATCTACAAAAGAATTGGAGCAGTTTGTATCAGCCAGTAAGGAGATGCTAATGGCAAGGCTGGTCAAGCCTCATACAGTTAAAGGAAGTGATGGAGAAACCTTACATTTTTTCTTTAATGAAGGGAGCAAGCTCTTTTTTTCTCTGATTCTCAGTATAGAAATTACTAATACTTAATATGAATCACATAGGCATTCAAAGAAGCAAAATGGTGTTAAGCTAAGAAGAGTGCCCTGACATGAGATTCATTTTCAGATTGAGTTTCTTCCTATCTGAGAACTAAGTGCTAAAAAAACTCTGAAATGTACATAAAAATTAGATAAATTTGTTATTGGAACACAATTTTATTTCACCCTTCCATCTTTTCTCTCTGTTACAAAAGCAAAAGGAAGTCAGGTGAGAAAGTGAGGCTTTTATCTGTCTCCCCTTTGATCTGCTTACAGACAAATTGAAGAAAATTAAAACAATAAAAAAATCTACTGCTGCAAATAAATAAAACAAATAAACAAATAAAACACTTTTCTAGAGTTGTAGAAATACTTCCACTCAGATGTCTATAACTGATAGGGCCACAACTGTCTCCAGTCAGTACTTGAACCAGAGAATAAAACTGATAGAGATGGATTCTTCCATGTTTATCTAAAGAGTCAATATCCTTGTGTTGAAAATAATCATCAGAATTCAGAAACTACTTTAAATGAAATGTATTTAGTGTTGTACAAAGCAGCACTAGTATATGAATAAAAGTGGCTCTTGTCTTTAGCAGTGATCACATTTCTGGCCTGGATGAAGAGGCTGGGTAAATTACTAGTGCACTTTAAATGCCCTCTTATTTAAATTAATATTATCATTATTATTGTGTCTCCTTCACTCTGCAAAACACTGATAGTTAGTCACCTGCAAATGAAATGTAAACTTTTCCTGACATTTTAGCTTTCCCCATTTTTAGTCAGTCACATTGCTTCTCCAAAGGTTCACTTACTATAGAAAGACCTTTCTCAAAGAGACTTATTTAATTCCATGGCATGTGAGACATTCCTTTTCTGAAACAGCAAGCAGCTGATATGGCATGTTGTAGCACAAAGGGAGTAAGTTAAAATGCCAAAAAGTATTTCTGGGGAAAGGAAAGTCAAAATACAGTGATATACGTCCTGTCACTTAAAGGCCACAACCATCTTGTTCTAGTTTATGATGACATGATGCTATAAGTGACAAAGGCAATCATGAATTTAAGAATTACTCCTTACTATTATCTGTTACCACGCACAGACTGTTTAAACATATTTTTTTGAGGTAGTATTCAATGAACCACTTAGCATGTCCTTCTTACACCAACTTTCAACCTCTTGAGTGAAGTAACGGATATGTTTGATAATACCTTCTGAAGCGGACAGAAGGAATGCTAAAAATAGAGGACATCTCAGGAAGGTGGTTTTTTACAGGATACTTACTGCTGTTTGGATTGTCACCTATAATGTGATGTCGGCCACTCCAGTACCAAAGCAGCAATGTAGCGTCACGAGATCCAGACACGATGTAACAATCACCACCAATATAGGATTCTGATCTGGCAAGGCAAGTCACGACATCCCAGTGGCCAAACACAATCTGAGTTAATTTTCCTGTTTAGAGTGAAAAGTGATACAAATTCGAGGTTTTTTAAGTACTTGCAACATTTAAAAACCATTTAGATTACAATAATTTAAAATATTGTAATTTAAATGATTAACAAATATTCAGTTTGAGAGTCATTTTTGCCTCATGTCCCTTAATAGCGTTCACTACATGCTACGAGATTAAAAAATCACAAAGATAAAACTTTTTTTTCCTCTTTTTGTGTTCCTATTGAGGGCTGCTCTCTGTGCCAATCCACAGCCTAACCCTTATCTCTGAAAACCAAGTCAGTGCTGTAATCACTGAATATTAAGTGGAGTTACTCCTCCATTAGTATTTAAGTGTCACAACAGTATTCGTGAATTTTATTAATGATATGCATATGGCAGCACATGAACTTTTCCATAATGGTGCTACATTTTAATATTAAAAATGTATATTTGTTCTATGTTAATGTCAAGCTAAAGTTTACTATGATCACAGCAATCTTTCTATTACTGCAATCAGATTTTAACAATATACTGAATGATATTAGGCTAAGCAAGCAAAGAAACAAAATATTGGTTCCCAGTAGCAGGCTATGCAACCTATTTTCTTATTACATGAAATAGAGATAGAAAGAATACATTTATGAAGATATTGTAACAAAAAGTTTTGTTGATCATCTTGATATGATCAATTCCCTGAATACAGCTACCTTTTTCAAAAGCTTCAACTAACAAAATTGTACGCCTTTCTGCTTCCTTTTACATCCTTTATCTTCAAACCCCACCCCTCCAAAAAAGCAACTTAAAGCTATTATGCTCAAACAATAATAAAGGATTTTATAGACTGCCCTTTATCTTGTGATGAGGGGTAAGCACAAGCATTAGATACGGTAATATAAAGACAGCTGACCACTTTGTGATCTAAGAAACCGGTAGCTGTATTCAGGGTCACCTGTTTCTGTAGAATAAACTCGAAAACTCTTGTCCCAGAAACCACAGATAAGAATGTAGCGATTATCTGCTGTGACCACGAAGCAATGTGCATTGATCTGGATGCTCTGATCCACAAGGTCTGTGATCTGCCGTTTGTTCACACCAGAGTTATTGGCTGTAACGAAATGCAAAACACATTTTACAAGTAAGCCATTCGAACACCTTCCTGTCATCCACTTACAGGAGAAAATGAATACATTTAACTTTCAATGAACTGTGAATTTGTTGTTGAGTAAGCTTTTTGAATACGAACGTTTAGAGCTGTCTATATGGGTGTCAGAAATACAAAATTATTGTGAGATTTCTGTTTTCCCTTTGAATAAGACAAAAGGTTTTACAGGAGATGACAGTTTCTTATAAAATGCCTGATGCACTGCATAATATGTGGTAATATTCTAAGCGCTCTGCTGAGGTACTCCTCAAAACCAAATTGAACTAGGTGAAAGTGATGGAAGTCCATTTAAACACCAAGTCAACATTAACAATACTGCAGAAAGTTAAGTCTTGCTGGTTTGTAGTGTGTGACCTCGACATCTCCCATATCTGCAGATGCTTAACTGGATCAAAGATGTAAGGATCCAACCAACGAAGCTATGCAAATCTCACGTGCTTTTTCAACACTGTCTTATCATCTACTCTTCAGCTAGGGAGCAGTAATTTTTAAAGAGGCAATGCCACCTGGAAATTCCCCCAGACAGAGGGAAAAAGAATGGTTCATGTGTAATCCCACCACCCCGAGTGTCAAACAGAGCTGTTAAGAAGGATGGGGAGTCAATAGCTAATGTACTCTTTACCTCCTATGACACATCAGACAGGATTTGGCAATACAGTAGAGGTGTATTTCCTCTCACCTAATAATAACTTCCTGAAAGTTCAATATATAATCTAAGTTAATTATCTACAGTCCCTCTGTACTCACTGGAGAGAGAGACATCGCTTCACATGGCAAGTCATCTCATGCTGTAACAGCTGTCCAAGTGCTAGACAACCCAGGGGCCGGTTTCCCTTTCTACAGTAGCTATGGAGGTAATCTCAGCAAGTAACTTCAGCTAACTGGTTAGGTGAGACAAAACTCACTCTGACAGACATGATTCTCCCAACGTAGGAACATGACTTAATGCAGACAATATTCTGAAATTTCTTTTGTCCCTATTTCTGGCTATTCTACTTTGCTCTCAACTGCACGAAATAAGAGACTTGACTAAAAAATTATATATATTCGCTTTTAAAAGTTAATACTATGTTTATATACAGCCCAAGAACACATATGTCCATCCCATTATGTCCATCCACTGAAAGATAATGAATAACAAATTACTCAAATTTCCAGAACAGGTGGGCACAATAGTTGTGCCTTAGCTTTTAAGAGGAAAACATGAAGAGAAAACCATTGTCATTATATGAGCAAATGAAGCATGCAGAATGAGAAAGCTAACTCTCCTGAGGTACTTAAATATAAATCTTTCAACCACGAATACTGTCACGGACAAAAAAGGAACTTTTCATCTGGAGATGTCTAGAAATGCATTTTTTTCTTACCAGTACTCAAAACTGTCTCTAAGAACCTTCCCTATCTCCAATTTGTGTCTCAAAAATATGTCTACTGCAAAAAAATAAACAACCAATCACAAAGCAAATAGTTTAAATTAAGGAGAAATGACCATTAGAATCCAAGTCCTGCAATCTCTCTAACACTTTTAGAAGATGCTATTCCTCAAAATATTTCACTTTCTCAAATAGTTTTTGATTTTAAAAATATAACCACACATCAATTTAAAATTCATTTTTTTCTTTATTAATTTAGTAATGCCAGCTAAAACAATCCAAATAATAAATTGAATGAAAAAACATGGATCCACATATGCAATGATACACACAGTGCTGGCTGTAAGAAATGAAAACATGTGAACTCTACCAGACCCTCACATTTTTTTTTACTAATGTAACCTGATAAGGGAACAGAATTATAGATATGAGCTGACAATGTAACTGACTTAATTGGTTGTTTCTTAAATACCAACTGCTGGTGATGTTAATAACAAATAGCACTCACATAATTCATTCAGCATCAATAGCTAATGCTTTTAGTTCTCCACGACTGACAAAAATAAATATTTTTCTATCTTCCATGTTAAATGAAGCATAATATACAAATACAGCTTAATCAATATCTCTTGAAAATGCTATTTGCAAATATATTGCTACATTTTCATCTTGACATACCAATCAATGGATCCATTTCGATTGGAAGATGATGGGCTTGATCCAAAGAATATCCCGGAGCTCCCCGGAGGCCTACACATGAAAGGAACATAGGAACTTTGTTTTCTAATTTTATTTATATGATCTTTCTAGGTTTAAAACTGATTTATTATATATAAAAATGGTTTATTATATATAAAAAAGCAATTTCTTACTAATACTACACCTATGAATGTTATGATTCCTTCCTCTGTACTGCACAAATATGAATCACAGAATCACAGAATCATTATGGT